TGACCATTTCTGACATGTTGAAGAGCGAAGAGCATGCAAGGACTTAGCACAAAAGCGCCATTCGCAGGGGGGGGACTCTACCCTCTACAACCGACAGAGTTTTCTGGCACCGCTGTGGGGGTGGCTGTGACCCCCCCCCAAAAAGACAGTTTCTGTGCCTGGCAGGGTGGCCTGCCCTTTTTTCTTGTTTCCATGAGTGCGCCCACTGAATGATCCCGCTCGCTCACGCAGGCTCGGTGTTCAGAGTCGGTTTGATGTTCAGGAATGGCTCCTACCAGACGGATTTCTTGCCCAAACTTTCAACCCAATGCACAATGCAGGCTGCATTGCCTGCGCACCGTGCGAAAAAATGGGTGCATCTGTGATGTCCATTGCGCATTGGGTTGAAAGCTTGGGCAAGAAATCCGTCTGGTAGGAGCCATTCCTGAAAACAAGAAAAAAGAGTGGACTTTTTGTTGGCGGGTCACCCAAGAACCCAGTTGTTGAAAGCATACTAGGTTGTGTTATATTATAATGTAATATATTAGATTTTATTGTGCTATTTTATCCTACCTTATCATCTTTGTTGCTGTGTTTTGCGATTAGTGCCCTTCATATTATAATGTTTTACATTGTATTGTATTTCAATGTATTATATTCTTTTTATCGTATGTAATATTGTATTTCCGTATAGTAAACGGTATGGTATCAAACACAGTATATCATAGTTTGTTATAGTATCGTATACAATAAGTTCTTATAGTTCCAGTACGTTGTAGTACATTCTATCATGTTCTTTTCTTGTCTATTGTATGATTTATGGTTAAACTATACTATATCTTAGTAATTTATGTTAACAGTTACTGTATGATCTTATTCTGTACTGTTATGATAATATTGTAGCATATTTTATAACATTTGCTTTCTATACATATATACGTACATATATATATATAGAGAGAGAGTGCACACACCTGTGTGCCTGCGTGTGGGAGTACATGTGATTCGTTTATGTTATTTCGTTTTTATACTTTTCTCTTAGATAATATCATACTTTATCTTATCATATCATATCATATCATATCATATCATATCATATCAGATCATGCTTACTTTGATACACGTGTTTTATATGATTTTATGTTTTGCCAACAGGAATTTGTTGTGTAGGCTAGATTTCGGTTTCCGCATGTCATCAAGTTGGCTCGAAGCCCAAATGTACGTGAAGCTTTGTGGAATGTCGTAAGTGGGTGTACAGGCTTACAGCCCCAAGCTAAGTACGTATAACCCAGCGCACTAGTTAAGTCCCCGGATCCGTTGGGGCCAGAGGAGTTGCGAGCCTTTCGATTTTTGCAGTAGGTTCAGGGAGGATGAATTGGCTGACGGGACAGTGCACTCCAATTGCCTAGGCGCTGCCCTCCCCCCCACACCCCGCTCCAGGACAACCAAAAATTGTGAACAATTGATACCCCTCCCAATCATACGTGCGATTGTAGTGTCAGAAGGCAAAGGCGTGAATGAGGTTCAGGTATAGCTGCCCGAGCATCACCGCAGCTGGATGCGAAGCTTGAAGGCCGAAACAAAGCTTTCATGTCCGGCAAACTCAGCCTTTGCGAACACCATACCGGGGAGATTTTAATGCACACAGGTCTTCAATTGCAAAGGACGCCTCCAGGCGCGCCTAGCTAAGGCTGAAAGGCACTTGTAGGCCTACCGATGCGGTAATGCGGGCGCTGCGTGCCAGGGTTCTGAGCGGTCTGTGAGTCTTCTGAACCGTTCCAGAAGATCTGCGCCAACCTTCAAGTGTGGGTTTGAGGTTGAGCGCTTAGCTACCAAATAATTTGCTCGTCCTTAAGCCCCCCCCCAGCCTTTGTGGCAGGCCTTGGGTGCCGTCGGCTTCGTTTATTTTTTGGCCAGTGGCATCACCAACGCTTTCCAGAAAGGCCGCTTGCCCTATCAATGCCCGACTGGCGAGGCTGCTGTGTTTTTTGTGCTCGAGGTTCAGGGTTCTTGTCTTTGGGGCTGGGCGCCCAGGGCTTTACAAGGGTTCAGAAGCTCCGAGGTTGTGCTAGTTCGATGCGCTCAGTGAGAGAAGTAAATTCTGCAAGACTTATCTTCGCAAATCATGGACATCCTCTTATCAAATCAGAGGGCATGTTGTGTTATCGTGCCATGGACTGTCTTGGTTGATGGTTGACTGTGCCAAGGTTTTCGCATTGCGGCTTTGGCCGCAGTCATGGTCCGTGTTCAGAGACTTCAGTTTCCAGTAGCGGGTGAAGTAAGAACCGTTCAGTTTCATCGGAGGCCGGGAAGTTTCAGTTATTCGCCAAAGCTTCCCTTAATGGGGATCTTGATTCCCAGAGATGCTTGGGAAGGAGGGGAGGGAGGAGAGCGAGAGGCAGAGGCCTGGCGCTTGAAAGGTTTTCGACAGGTTGTTTTCAGCAAGCTGCTGGAGCTTTGACATGCACTTTGCCTCGCCATTGATCGTGCTCGTTCCGGAGATGGAGATCGTGCATTCGCGGAAAATTGAACCCCGTGACTTGAAACGTGATGTTGGCACTGTCAAGCCGGCTTCCGCATTCTAGACATGCATCGTGCCAGGTCTCACTGGAATCCACACTGTGCACAACATGACAGCGCCCAAGCCAGAACTACAAAGAGCTACATCATGAATATTGAGATATTTTGCCCTTCTAGGGTGTTTGATGCTGGTTCGACTTCTTTGGTTAGGAGTGTGATTGGTAATATATCGTGAGCACAAGAGAGAATTCCAGGCCCCATCAATTATCAACATGCGACGAACTCACCCATGGAGGACATGCTGATTTTCGAGATGGTCGCGGCTTTGCCACTCCTCTTCCTGTTCACAGTGAACATGCGAGCGCCTGGTTCGAACAAACGAATTGGGGAAGGGGGGTGGGCCTTCAGGGAGGCGAAAATTGGGAAAGGTCAGCCATGTCACGTTGTGCGCATCGATGCGGAAGTCAAGCTTCTAGATCATGGGATGTGTGGTTTATGTTCGAACATCGGGCCTTTGACGACGCTTACCCCGCCTTTCAGCGTGAAATAGTGATAAACACCTTTCCATTGGTACAAGTACTGTTCGGCTGCTCTCAGCCACTTCTTTCAGGAAAATGTTCTTTTGCTGCTTTTAGTGTTAGGACAGTTACGGTGCGCGAAAGAGCAAGCCCGTGTTGGGAAGACATGAAACTACTTGGAGCTGAAGGATCGATGCTCTGAACAGACAGGCTACCCAAGTCTTCGATGTAGTAGTTGCAGCGCATCTCTTCTCTGACTTTGCTCCAAAGCCTGGTTTTGTTGTGAAGCTGGTGTTCAAGACCTCTGTGCCCTTCACATATTGGCAGAAGAAAAGCCACGAGATGCTAGACAAGGCGATGTTTTGCGACGTCATGGCCCTCTCGAAGCCTGTTTGCTCCCAATTCGTAAAACAGCGAGAAAAAAGCCTCGGTCTTCGGGTCTTCGAGTTTCAGAATTTAGAGCTGTGGCAAGTGTGGGCCTAAGAGTCAGTTTCTCTTCAAACTCTTGGCTGTGTTCCCTGAAAGCAGTTTTGAAGTTCTCACACGCAAGGTTTGTGCGCATGGCGCAGCTCTTACGGAGAAGTGCCGTCAGATTCCTGCTTTTGTGAACCAGATTCCGTCTGCGGAGCCGATTGAACCTTGGATGCAGCAAGGGGTGTAGGATGCGTGGATTCGAGCTGCACGTAAATGTGGAAGGGGTCACAAAATTAGGTTTATATGCTTGGGTCAAGGCGCTTAGACTACGAAAATCGGGATATAGAATCCGAAAACTGGATCGACAACAACACTGCCTGATCACCTTAAAGGTTACAGCGGCCACAAGTGAAAAGCTACAACAGCAGAGATGCCATGCTTCAACCGAGCCCATGTTTCGGAGCCCTGTTAAGGATCCTCATCAAGCCGCACGGTAATGTCATTGCCACGACGCTCCCACGCTCAATCTTCCAATCCTCTAAGCTTGTGCTGACATGGGGCATGCGTCGTCCCACTACTTTTCGGAGCACTTTAGCATGGAAGGCTCAAGTAACTTAGCCACATGGTGTTCGACTGCACATAAGATTCCCAGCGAACCTGCATGTGTTGAGTGGTCCTATGGTTTAGACTGCACACGCACTCAAGCGATCTAGGCCGGGTTGCAGTGGTTGCAGTGAACGCAGACGACCCTGAGCCTCGAAACAGAAGCTAGTTTCGCCGGGGCTTAATGGCCTAATTACCATGCAGACCGCGGAACTGCCCTGTGTCATCCGAAGGACACAGAGAGATCTTACCTCGCACCACGGCTGCAGCATTCGATCTCGACACGCAGGTCCTTCAGGTTGCATCTGTTCAGTCTGCAGTCGAATCCTCGCTCCTGGGGTCTAGACATGCGCAGAGGTCCACTTCATTACAGACAGCTCCGCCGGGTTCTTCGTCAAAGACGCACGCCTTACCCGCGAGATGTTTCTGAAGTGCGCGGCCCAGAGACGATTTGGCATGTTCAGGTTTCCGTAATGTTTCCGTCAGAAATGACAAAAAGGAACATACCACAATATAAGATAGTTCTAATACATCACGATATATGATGTTTCAATATTGACAGAATAAACACGATCTTTATGCAGAACATAATAGTCTATGCTAATGTAAAACGGTATTAAACATGTTTGCACAGCAATATGTTGTGGAATGTAAAGCAATGCACAGTACTGTAAAGTAATAGATTACTAATATATGATAACCCAGTGGTTCATGTTGTAAGATAATGGAATGTATCAGACCACAAAATATCAGAACACAATGTACCTCAGTTTTTCGTTATCATACAATGGAAAACCATGTGACCAACATTTGCTATACTACAACACAGTTGTTTGGAAAACATAATATACCGCAGCAATACGATACTTAAGATATCGCAATAGGACAAATACAGCATAATGCAGCATAGTAGAACATAACGTCTAATACTTCAATATGATGCATTATAGAATGGAACAAAACAGTATAGCATATTGCCAAGCAATGTAACATAATATTGGTATCATAACGCACAATAACATAGCTTAACACGGTAAAGTGTAATGCCATGCAGAATAGAAGTGAGACATTATATATAATGTAAGGTGTTTTCATAGCAGAATACACGTTGCATACAATACAGCAGCACATACCACAACGCAATTCCGTGTAGCATAACACAGTAGAGTCCACTATGATTCGACATAACACAATATACCATAATCACATGATGCAAATTTTACAATACTTTTTTAGTATAACACAACACAATATAGGATAACGTCGTACAATAGAAGGCAATATAATGTAAGCTAGCATGGTACACCGTGTCATATCCTAACATAACACATATTGCAGCTCAATGTAACAATACAGCATGTTATAACATAAGACAACACCATGTAACATACTACTTCATAGCATAATGAGTTCTCTAAGAGTTTCTATATCAAATACTTAATGTCATATATGATAATGTAGTATAAAGCAGCATAGCCTAATATAGTTCAACAAAATTGGTATAAACATGTATACACATACGGACATACGTGTGTGAAGGCCTGGAGGTAGCGGCATCCAGCGCTTCATTTTGAGCCTTACCGTCATTGCTTCAAAGCTTTCAGGATTTGTGCACTCAGGGCCGCAAGGTGTTCGCTTACTGTAATCAACTTCTGCGTGCTCGGTGATACCTGCTTCGATCGCAGGGGTCTTGTGCGAGCTCCAGGGCTGGAGTGGAACCTTCTGCATTAGATGTCGACTTTTTGTCCACAGGTCAGGATGTGTCCAGACTGGGCGGGCGCACCATAGTGTTAGTCATGTGCCGTGGAGGACGCAGATGGTATCTTTTAGGTTTGATCATGGTGTGTATGCTGCAAGCACGACTCGTTTCAGCGCAGTTCTGTGGAGAACCTTTGTAGATTCCTGTGGGCGATTGAAGTCCTGTGTCGAATTGATTGAGACCCTCTCGCTGTGAGTCGTTTGGTACGTGCGGTTTCTCCACCGTTGGTCCGAGCCCATTCAAAGAGCCTAAAGTCTAGCACCCTCACGGACATCGACGGATGCCAAGTCGTGAGACAGGCAGTTCATCACCGTGGGCGGGTTGCTCTCCGGCCTCGTTGGCGTTCTTTCGCGGATGGGAACCTGAGCTGCTTTTCTCGAACCTTGGTCTGATTTTTTTTCGACGGATTGCGGGCTTGGGTGAGGTTGAAGCTTGTCGGCTGCTTTGATCCGAGGAATAGCTTCTGTCATTCTTGCGAAACGGGGCACTGTGACGCTGCTCAGAATTCCTCTTGGCCGCTCAGGGTACTCGTGGATGCAATTGGAGAACTCGGGCGGTAGCAGGATAAGATTTGCTGCAGCCCAAATCGATCCTTTGATATTATCTGCATCAGGTGGACATCGTTTTGAACAGCTAGCGGATTAGATTTCCCTTGCAAGTACAGCTTAAGCCTGGAACCGCCAGTGCCCTTTTTCTCGAAACGCTCAGCCATGACTTACGCCAGCTACCCCTGACCCCTGACCTCAAACCCGTAAGCCGTGATTTCTAAACCTGCCTAGTTCGCATGCGTGCTTTCTGGGATCATGGTTAGTCTGCAGGAGGTTTTTCAACATGGCCCGCTGCTACACCATCCTTCTGACGAGGAAGCTACTTGTGCTGTCCACAACCGTTTCTACATTGTGTTTCAGGGCTGTGCAGCAGGCGACTCCGTTTCTCAGAAACTCTTTTCCAGTCAGTGCGTCGTTTCCCGTTCCTTGGCTCACAGTTCCCGATTGACTTGTGGGTGGGCTGACGATGTATTCAAACTTGCTCGACGGGACCATGCACATGTCTTCCCCTCAGTCCCAAACATGTCGAAGTCTTCAGGAGTGGTGGTGCCCGGGCGCTAAAATGTGAGCCACGCCGACAGCTCCTCGCATGCGCGCATGAACTGTTTCAGTCTTCGGTAGCGAGCCGAAGGTGTTACACCCCTGGCCCTTGCGATAGAACCCTGACCGGTAGTTCTAAGAAGGTGTTTTAGTGTGACGGTCATCTTACAGCTTGGATTGGAGCGTGTCATCTTTTGACGTTCACAGCTTTCTGCCAACAATTTCATGGAAATCAAGCCTGAATCCATGCAGAAGCCACTCGCTGTCCTCGGGAGGCATAGCCTTACCGTTCTGCTAGCGTGGGTGTAGAGAGGAAGTCGCACTCCGGTCTTCCCTTAGCAGTCGGGCGTTCTTCGTGTCTCTGTGTGTGTGTGGGCCTTCCGTGGTTACGTGCTTGAGCATGGGGGCCTGGTGCGTAATCACGTGTACGCGTTGCAGCTGGTTTTCCCAGGCTTTGACTTAGAGGAGCCTGCTGCAGCCCGAAGCCGCAAACAGCTCAAGCATACCTGTCTGGCTCAGCACCTTCGGCCCGGAGGTAAGGTTCGGAGACAGGGAAAACTGCAGGTCCAGGTTGCTGGCCCAAATTGTAAACTGTAAAGAAGCACGGGCAGTGCTGTTGCCAGGCAAAGCAGTTGGAATTGAGGTCTGTGCAGCATGCTCTCTTTGAGTAGATGCGCGTACGCTAGCATTCTTGGTATACAGCCTACCTGCGCTATTTGGGGTGCACATCATTTTACAGAGTTCCCCACTGCACGAGTTGTGACAACGAGAGCAAAGAGCGGTCTCATCGCAGTTGCAACCAGTTGCGCGGCTGCTTGTGTATAGGGGCATCATGTCTGTGGGCGGGCCCACGGCTGTCAGAACCTCCAAGACTAGACTAGTCTATCGAGAATGGCTGCGAATCTCAGAACGTGTGATGAGGCTTGGCTAAGCCGGAACTTCTTTTTGCTACGATACCTTGGAAGCTCTCGGCAGCAAGCGCGCTTTAAGTTGAATTGCAAGGAGGGAAGGTGTGGTCTGGGAAAACAAATCGGCCGAAGCAATTTGAAACCTATACCTTTACCCAAGACCTCTACTCAACTCCGTCTGAAAAAGAGGCATCTGTGTCTGTGCTAGTTCCGCTCGGCGATCAAGTCGCACCTGTCGGGGCCCGGTACAAAACAGATCCAAGCTACAGTCCCGAAATCCCAGACTCTCATATCCGATAGTCCGAGCCTTCATCTCTTGACCCAGACCTTCGTGGGAGTTGGTGAAGCCAGTCTGAATGATTGGGGTGTTTTGGTTTTTGGATTGGAGGCAGCGGGTAAATTGAAAGACATGCGCAATTCTGCGCGCGCTTCGACATTTGAGTTGGGGCTCTCCCACCTAAACGATCCTGGAATATTCGTCTTGTGTCTCAACGCGCAATTCAAGCATTCAGGAAGGCAAAATGTACATCAGGGCATGGGGTACTTCCTGGCAAAACTTCTGCACGCATGTGGCAGCAGTCTCTTCCCTGACAGCTTCTGCCCCGAAGTCCTGAAGCACCTGACCACTCCCGAAAGCACTGGAATCTACAAGCCCTGGCCTCTCTGGCCCGAACATGTCAGGCTTCTTATTCCTATGCATTGTCCAAAGGACGTCGGAAGTCTCACAGGCGCACGTCGGCGCAAGGATGAGCCCTTTCCGAGCGAAGCATTTGAGATCCTCGTCACGGGGGACCGTCCTTGCAATTCTTGGATCTTCTTGCTCGCATGAGTCTGAACACTGCTGTCGCTCTCGTCTGGGCTCAGAGCCGCCGATGCAGTGCGATAATCA